TTTCCAACGATATGACTGTTATTTTCGGAGATTTACTTTCAACCTGGATAAGCATTTTGTTTTTTTCTCCAGTTTCCAATTATCATATTCTTTCAAACTTAATATTTAGCCATTTATTATAGTTACTGCTAACGAAAAAGAGTTAATTTTTTTTAAATAAACCATATTAAATGTAGTCTATAGGCACGTATATGAACATTGCCATGTAAAGTGACATCAATGAGGATAATACCTAAATTATATTAAATACCACTTAATTATACAATGATACACCGAGTTTAATCAAAATCGTTAGAGCCGTTTTTGAGAAAATTGTAAAAATGTTTTTCACCGTTAATTTATATCAATTCACAGTAGCACTTCCGGTTGATGTGACATCTAAGGTATCTAAAATATCTCTAAGCTATCTTAAATACGTACTATCAGTTTCGTACGATTTTTCGTATTTGAGCTAGACTGTTCACATACACGCAGACACACAGACCATTGTGCGGGACTTGGTTATTGGGACTCAGGGGACCTCAAAACGTGAATTTTCGTTGAAAACTCAGATTCAAAAATTGTCAAGGTCGCAATAGTTTCCTTTAATATATGTTACATATATAGGTAAACGAAAGTAAAAAGAACGAGAATAATTCTTTAGTTGTTTACTTGAATGAAATTCTCTACTCTATAACGAATAACGAAGCTCTTCCTCAATACGTTTCTCACAACATTAAGTTGATTGAAAGATCTGGTGCACTAATCACTTAACTTCCACTTATTATTCGATATTCGGTAGATTCTTTTTTTTTAGTTATTTAATCTTATACAGAGTTCAGTCTATTTTTCTGGAGCTTTAGAACTAAATCTATATGTAGCTAGTTCAAATGAAAGTCTTCTCTTCTAATGCAAGTTCAGACTACCACAAACATGCTTTCTGATTTTTCAATATTTTTTTCGAGAGATTTTACAGTTCGTCAGGGTTCAGAAATTTCTTCTGTTCGTCTAATCAAGGAGGGAGTACCTCAAGGCCCTGTGCTGGCTCCTGTAAGCCCGATGAAAGCCTTGTTGCTTACATTGAGCGAGAAGGGATCGCACTGCTGTTTTAAGAAATCAGAAGCATTCAGAATGGAGTGGTACTGGGTATTCTGAGGAATTCCTCTTCTACGTAGTCTCAGAACCTCTCTCACCTTCAGAAACGCAGGTTGGCGGTAACTCACTGTATGGCTCTGTTGCGTGTCGCCAAGTCATACCGAAACGTTTCACAAGAGGCGGTGCAGATCTCAGCAGGAGGGGTACCTCTCGACCTTCTACCGTGAAAAGACTAAGTAATATTGAAGTTCAAAATAGAAGGCTCAGCAGATGACCCAAGAATGTGGAAAAAAATTATGGGGGAATTCCACAGATGTGTGGAATCGGCGGTGGGTAACAAACTCAAAAAAGGCAACCTTAAGATAATATTTCCCCACCGTACTTTGACTTTCACGAAGTCACTTGGATGCGAAGTGAGTTCTCCCAGACTACTGGATCTGAGTAGTGTAGTACAGGACATGAGGCTTTCCGTGCTAAAAATGGTCAAAAGCGGTGTCGTCTTGGAAAAGACATAAATGTTCTAACGCCCACTTGCGGAGTACCGGAGACGGCTGAGATTGTCATAGTCAACTGCACCGCCTTTGATGGACTAAGGGCTAAAATGATGAGTAAAATTGGACACTATGGCCTCACGGAGAGTGAATTTCCCCAGTTAGTGACGGAGCAGAACTACCCGTATTATATATAAGATACGATTGGAAAGTTTCTCTGGGGCCGGCATAATTTAATATGAAGAGGACCTGCTCATGGAAAGGCCGCCAGACTGATAATAAATTATTACGGTGAAAATAAAATAAAGAAAACTGAAGATTTTTTAAAAAGTGTTAAAATATTTGTTGTTTAATCGCAGGAATGACAAATACGTTTGTGATATCTCTTTAAAATCCCGAGTAATCAAAAGGCAAGTAAGGGAGAAATAAATGTGTTAAGAAATCATAATTGTTATCAAGTATGGACTATAGGGTCCATGAGTACGAAACGATGAGTGCGTACTTAGGCAAAACCTAATGGAGTTTTTGCCTTACTACGTCCCAGACCTGTTTGCTAGAGCAATGGGATTGGCGCAGGTCTTCAGCCCATCAAAGAATTTGTGCCTTCGGACAATAAACTCAGGCAACAAGGGGAACTACATCACATCTCGTTTTGGGAATTGTTATATTGTATTGTGCCATTCTTGGCCCTTTGTAAAGTGGTGCCGCGGACGATTCCCTGAAGAACAGAGTTCTGGAAGCCCTGCACTGGCCGTAGCGCCTAATCTTGTAGAGACCCCTGGAGCAGCGTAGGTCAAATAATGGCCTTGTAGATTTGCAGCTTGAGTCTCAAGGAGAGCTGCGACGACGTTAAACGGTGGTAGAGCCGGTAAAAGTTCTTCTTGGCGAGCTTGAGTCTGCCAAGCGTGACTGAAGAAAGTGATGTCTCTACCCAGTGTAATGCCAAGGGACTCCTCCGATGGTAAAGTATGTGGGTCGAGGTTTCTTTCCCTTCAGGAACGACATCACGACGGCGTCAGCTTCGCAGTGATTATCCTGACACTACTCGCTTCAAACTCTTTTACGATAGTGGCTAAGGCGTTCTGTGGCAGAGCAGTCCTGGCATGGACACTCAAAGCATTGATGCCTATGTCGTCCGCATAGGCTTCTATCGCCGCTCCTGAATACTTTATTGCCACTACTGATAACATGAAAATGACGATTTGTATTGGCTACAGTACAGACTCTTGAGGAACTCCGCAGGTGGTGAGTTCTGGAATCAAGAAGTCCCTGCCGGCTTGTACGACAAATATCCCCTAAGATCGATTCGAATCAGTCGGTATGTATGGTTGATGCGTGTGAGACATGCTGTCGAAGGCCTGATCATAATTCAGAGAAATAATCATCGTACCCCAGTTGTGATTCATCTGCTCTTTCGTAGGGGTCAGGAGTTTCGCTCAGCGGTGTCAGCAGGCGACCGTTCACTGGAAACCAGTCAGTTCCGTTGCTTTATGAGGTAATGGTGAATTAACCTGTCAAAGGCCTTGCTGATGTTTGTCAGTGGTCCCTCCGGCAATGGCGGAGCATTTCTCTTCCTATCAGCATCCCTTGCTGCATACTTTTGGCTAGGAATATTCATCTTATAATTTCCTTAAGTTTCAAGCTTATGTTAAGTCCTTAAATTTCAAGCTTTTTTAGCTTTGTAAATCTAGATAATTCTGTAAGAATAAAACCAATCATAATTTTGCAATGGTAAAATAAGTTTAATTAAAATCCAATAAATTGGAAATTCGTCGTTTTATCCTTGAAAGTTAACTGACTTAAATGCGTCGTTTTAGTACCGTGCGTCACGTAATCATGCATTTTCGTTGAAAACTCGGATCCCAGATGTTTAACGACCATACATTGTATTATCAATAATCTAAATTTTTCATTTATAAATTATATATTAATAATAATGCATATCATAAATAAATAGCCTGTTATCATGAGATAATATGTCGGTTTAAATTTGTATCTTCCTTAATCTTATAAATAACTAAAGCTTCAAATCTTTTGGCGTTAAAGCTTTTTCCGTCACTGAGACTTTTATTTTATTCAATTAGTCATATTTTCCGTAAATGCGCATTTTTCTCTGAAACGAAAAAAAGTGCCGAAACATTTAAATTTTTTTTTTGGATTATCTCCAACTTCGCCGATTCTGGTATATATAGTGGGTTTGTTTCAGAGGTACAACCAAACCTTTTCTATCAAGAATGTTAAGTTCAATTTAATTCTACTGGTTCAATATACTTCAAACTGGCTCTGCTAGACCCGAGAATGATAAAGCGGACAACGCTCTAAAACGCATGACCACTTGGGCCTCTATTCATATCTATCGTTATCGAGATATTACTTTCACTTTTAGCGTGCAGCTCTTCAGCAGTTTAGTCTACTCAATCTATTCATCTGGTTTTTGGCCTTCTACGTAATCTCTTGTCTACTATCGAGGCATTAATAGTTGTAGAGACATTGATAGTTGGGCAGTCGTTCTATTGGATTGCACCCATCTTAACCTATTTACCTTAATATCATGGGATATTGAATTACCAGTTCCTGTAAGAAATTCATTATTGATAACTCAATTTTTTTTCAGTGCTGACTATTGTTCAGTATTGTAGCTGTATATCATAAATGGCTTTTTCATAGCATTTTACAGCCTTTATTTGAGATTCCTAGAGAATTTTCGGGATTTCAACACTTTTGGAAGATGGGACAATGCTCTGTTTTCGCTGATCTATTTTCGGCCGTTTGACTCATTGAGGTTATATTGGAGATGAGATATTTGAATATATTAACTCTCGGGGAAGATTTTCCTTCCATGCAGATCCTGTTTTTGGGGTGGAATTTTCGGCTTAATATCATTTATTTTATTATTTCATTCACTTATGAGTTGATTAGTTTTATCAGTCAATTTCATCTTGGTTATTATACTAGTATAGCTTTATCATTATTATATCTAAGGATTTTATGATTCAATCTTACGTGATCTCCTCTATTTACAAGTGATATTGTCATCTTCTTTAGTACGTGGATGTTGACGATACATTATTTTATATATATTACTTTGCATTTATTGTGTCACTCTCTTGTAATTACTCTGCATTTATTGTGTAACACTCTAGTAAAATGTCTAAAAAAGGAAATTCTCTCTGCACTTATAAACTGTTATGTATGATTCTATATTGTACTTTATACTGCATACTTTATTGCCCAAAAAAGGGTTGTTGAAAACTCTTCTAAGATGATAATGTATCGAGACATTACCATCTCGACACCAACACTTCAATCATTAATGGGTTAGTTATCTTCTTTTGAAATTGGTAATAAATAATCGCTAAATCGTTGATAAGATAAGGCTTAGTAATTAAACGGCCGAATCCACGGATCGTGCAAGTCGGCGATATGGGCTTACTGAATGCACTGAAGGGGGTTTCCGTTTTGCTGCCCGTCTTGATCAGCACAATGACGGCGATGATGCTTGCGGGAGTATCCTACAACTTCATCGCTCAGAAGTCTTGTAGTCCTGAGGGTGTGCCTGTGGACATCAATGGTTTCATCTGTCCTAACCAGACGATCCTCGACCAAGTCAACGGTCGGTATAAGTCATGCACTTAGCACTAAGCTCCTAGTCTTAACAAATTTTTTAGTTAAATTTTAAAATCATACTATAAAGCAATAAGTAACAAAGAAAATAAATGCTCATACGTACCAAAAATTCTTATTGCTTATTTTATATTAGTTCCATCCACCCTCTTAAAAGCCATAAACCAAGGTACCAATAAAGTCGATGATTAAGCTTATTAATATGGATTTGAGCTTTGTAATACCATGTTCCATAAAAATAGTTTATTTTATTTATTAGAAATATGCACCATATAACGTTATATCTATGGTATCTGGCCATAACTATTCCTTTTAAACACCTTGAAGAAGTTAGTGAATTCATAGTTCTCGTCTTGACCTATAAAATTCTTAGCAATGCGGGGTAAACAAATTCTTCACGGTGTTTAAAAGGCATGGAAGATGATCTCAATTTACGGAACTCCTAAGGACCATTTTTCGACTAAACTAGTTGAATAGATATTTAATTTAGGACCTCAGTCAATGATGAATACCAAAACTTAGCTTGGAATTAGTCATGCAATCATTATTATCATAGAAAACTATTCCGTGAATCTAACTAATTAGTTTTGTTTCTGCAGAAGGAAGTTTATCTAGCAATAGCAAATTAAAAAAAAATACGAGTTTGTCAGAAATTGAACCGGTAAAGAACAAATATTATCTGACAAGTCACGATGATTCGACTTTTTTTTAAGCTGGATATAAGTTTTGCTGAGGTATCTCTTAATCTGGTAATATTGCAGTTATCAGACAAAAATGAAAACTAAAATTATAATGCGTGGTGTGCTCTACATATTTTGTCATACAACACGTCTTGAATACTTCGTCATTTTTAAATGTGAATCTTCATTAGGTACCAAAAGACATTTTGAGCAGTTTCCATTTAAAAAGAGACAGTTTTTTTTTATATTTTCAAATTTTACTATTATACTTTCGTTATATCGACATTTTAGCATGTTAACTAAAAATTTGGTGAAAAATAATGGAGCTAGGAATTATTGCCAACATAGAGTTTGGAACCATTGTGTAGCAGAACACCAGAACGGTGATCATTACCGACACTGTAACAAATAAATAAATTTAGATTTGTGCCTTCATAAATTTTAGCTCTATTTTATACTTATTGTGTTATTTATGATTCAATGAAATGATTCAATCGTTCACTTGCTTGCAATTTGTTTTTGTTTTGTTTTTTTAGAATCATCGTTATTCCACAGAGGAATAAATAAAAATATCTTCCAGACTGAAGTTTATCTAAATTTTTTTTTTTTTAATATATTGAACATTTTAGTTGAAAACTGAATATTTTTCGTATTAAAGCCATCGAACTAAAGCCGCTTTCTGTCAAATCAGTGTATTGGTCATGGTAGAGAAATAGTTGGCCGTAAATAATGTGGTTGGGAAGTTAATTGGATATTGCTGTCATAGTGTAAAACACTAATAAAATTTATATAATTTTTGGCCGACGTTTCGGCCAAGGTTTTTGGCCTTCGCGAGGGCTGAGGAAATGCAAGATATATAAGCAAACAAAGTATATTATTAAAATACACGAAAAACAAAAAGTATACGTTATCAACCAATAAATAAATTTTAAGTAATGAATTAGATTTTTAAATAAATAAATATCATAATATTCCGTTTCATTTCTTTGTTTATTTTTTTTAATCGTTATTTTCTGACCGTTCACATTATTAATTTGTTTAACATTACTTCATAAATTCATATAAAGTATTTTTTTCACAGTCTATTATCCTCAGAAATAAAAATTTCAGAAATATTTAACTATCAATATATATTATACAGTACTTGTATATTTTAATTTATCTTTCACAGCTTTTGTTATCTCGTCTTTACTCACTCTAATTTAAGGCCTAAAAAGTTGGTACACAATAAAATTTAAAAAATATATTTTGTTTTTCACTGTGATTGCAACCCCAACTATTGAAAATGCCAGATTAGTTTTATTGCTCCTTATATTTTTTAAGTGAAAAATTCTTAAGGTGCGTTTTGCATTTTTTTTTTTTTTTTTTGAATGGTGAATTAGATTGAGCGGTCAGATCTCCGTTGTGTAAACGGTAAAATCGGCTGGAATCGACTAATTGAAGTGTTTTTACATATGTATTAAAATATCTCAAAAACTAATAACAATGGGCAACAATGAAAATGTTTCGGTCCTAAAAATAGTCATTTCAAATTGATTTCCATCTTTTAAATTCAAAAATCACCATAAACATGATCGATAAGCTCTTGCTTTGGAGATAAAGTGACATTTAATTTTTGAGAGTCAACATCATCAATATAGGGGATTTTTTTTTTAGATTTGGTACACCTGTCAAATAATAAAACACAATTGCTCTTCAGCAGTTTGTAAGTCATATACATAGTTACTGTTGCTGTGACTGTGAGTTGTTCATATAGTTTCTACTGTAATTAATGCTGAGTTTCTGGTTTGATAGTGCTTTTTTAGTGAAAAAGTCTTATAAATTCTTGAAAAATGTATAAATATGGTGAATATTTTAGTTCTATTTGTAGTGAAATGAAAATTTTACTCACAGAAACGCTATCTGACGCCTCTTGTAAAGACTGCCTATCAGCATTATTTCGGCATGAAAGTAGGGGACCAGGATAAGTCTTGGGCTCAACATATATGTTGCAACGCATGTATTTGCTACACTTCGAGAATTAATATAAATAAATAGATATGAAGCCAGAACAATTAGGAGGTTGATGGAAGAACCTTAGGCATCCTGAGCTCAAGCCATTTCGATTTTTTAAGTTAATTTTTCAATGAAGCGAAGTTGGATGTTTGTTTGAGGGAACTTTCCTTATTACTTTTCTTAAGGAAATAAGTTTCAATTTTTGGTTTATTCATTTGTAATTTGCCATTTTCTTGTTTAAAACTTTGGAAAATTTATTTTGGGTTTTTAAATTATTGGGTTGACAAATAAGTCCTTTTGGATTTTCTGTTTATTTTTATGTCACAATGATGCACTTGTTATTTGATGAATTAATCTCTAAGATGGATTGTTCATCCTGTTTGTAATGCCAACAACTATATCCGTTGACTCTTGTTGAAACTAGCTTAATATTGTGTTTGCTATTGCACTATGAATATGGAAGAAAATATCATTCGTTATCGTTATTAAGACCATTGTTGATGAAAAGCTCACCCAATCTGTGCGAGAGATTGTTATGGGCCTAAATGTGTCGCATACAAACGTAATAAAACCATTTGTACAAGCTCGATTATGTTTCCAGGCTTCACATGAATATGTTTGGGTCCTTCACGTGATTTTTTTTTTTTTAAATCACGAAAAATGCTATAACTTCAATAGGACTTTAGCTATCTACAAGAAATTTATGACCAAATAAACTACAAGAAATTACATCAACAGGACCTTCTTAAACAAACTACAAATGGTGATATAAATAAAAACCAATAAGAAGTCTTTGTTTATTTATTCCTCATGTAGGCATTAAATAAAAAAAAAAAACATTCATACAGCTTTGAAGAGAAATAATTCTGCCTTTAACGGATATAGTAATTATTATTAAAATAAATCTTATGTCTATGATACATTGAGTTTTATTTCATCCTGAAAAATCGAATAGATTTATTTGCCAATCCAATGTATTAAATAATTTCTTGACCCCAAAAGCTGGGTGTCTATTACAGGTACAACACACGCTGTTCGAATTTCCTAAGTTTTTCATGAATAGACTTTAATGTACATACGAAATACGAAATAGATAAAATACTAAATTTGCTGTCAATTGAACCTTTTTGCAAAGATCCACTAAACTTACTTAAGATAAGTACACTTTTAATTTTTATAATCAAAACATGCCCATACAAGTTGTACGCACACACTTCCCGTCGAACCAAAGAAAAGTTTAATGAGCTTCATGGACTCGAACTCCTGCCTCATCCACCATATACTCCTGACATCGATCATTGAATTACTACTTATTTAAATCTATGGCCCATTTTCTTTAAGGTAAAAAGTTTGATAACTTTACAGAAGTTGAAATTGCGGTCGAAGAGTTTTTTTACTTCCATCCCAAAGAATGGTATCAGTGTGTGATCGAGCAATTGGCTAGCAGATGGCTAATGACGGTAGATAACAATGGACTATACTTTAAGTATTAATTGTATTTTATATCAAAGAAATAATAATACAAATATTTGATTGAAAAACGGTCATTTTTTTGTTTATACACTCTATTAATTAAGAGGCCCGTTGCTCCATCCCTGCATTCCCCTGTCCATGATGTTATACGTATCCTATTGCAACCATATCACCTAAGAACCTTTGACCAGATTTGGGGTTTATCTCAAAAACGGTACATTTTACGGAATTAAAATCAAGGGCCCTTTGGAATAACACCGGGTCCTTGATGTTCGCGTGAAATCTTTAAAATAAAATTTATTCCGTTATAGTCCGCCAACTTTTGAAACCACACGAGTTTTGAAACTTTTCAATGGTTTTTATTTTTAGCAAGGTGTAAAGTTTCGAAATTAGAATCGTCACTTATAAAAAAAAATAATAATAAATTAAAAAAAACCTCTTTCATTTGATATCTCATTCATAACATCTGAGACCCGGAAAAGTGATTTATACTACCATTATATATATAGTGTGAATCTTTATAATTCGAAATTAACCCGAACAAAACCGTGATGCAAAAGCTAGTATATGATAAAATTGTCAATCAAATTTCAAGATAACGTTTAAAGAGAAAAGCAGCTCCTTTTCGGTTATTATAGAAATCAGGCAAAACCATAAGTGCCTAGTAGTTTTTTATCAATTTTAGTGCTAAATTTGATAACCATTAAAATCAAAAACATCTTATGTGGCACAACAACTCTTGAAGAGTCAACATCGTCTGCACTTTCTGCTCACTACTTACTGTTCACTACCTTTCTCCTATTGCGGATCCCCAAGATGAACCTTGCGTCCAATACTACTCCGAAGCCGTTGTCTTTCCCCTCTTCTTATGCCAACAAAGAATCAAAGATTTTGTTCCTTTTATCAAATATGTTTCTAAGAATTGCATCTAGAGTCATTATAACTGAATATTCAGCCCATTAAATCCGTCCTACTTTTCTTACCCTTATAATATCTTGGTGCCTGTCCAGTCCTATTGTTTCTTGTTTATCTTACAGATACCAATGCCGTAAAATGAGACCACCTTTTTTTTGCATTGATACTTTATTGTGAAATTTTAATTGTGAATATTTTTATTTAGAAAATGACAGTAAATATGAAAATGTTACTCTTATTTCTCATTATAACCTCTTATTAAATTTTAGATTTTATAATTTTACATAAATCGTTTTGTTTTCACTTACCTATATATGTAATATATAGTAATACGACAATATAAAAATCAAAATTTCTATATATACCAATAGTTAAACATGTAAAAGTACTCACAATGAAACATAAACAAATTAATCAGCCATCTTTATCATTGGCTTTTTTTTTTTTGGTCGGACTAAAAATATTTTGTGTATTTAATTGCTCATTATACTGCAATAAATAATTAAAATATACAGTCACAAAGCGGAATGGTTAGTGATTAAAAAAAACATAACATAAATATAATACATCAGAAGGCTGTGTAAATTTGGAAATACCTATTTCTGCTAAAATAAAGGTGGTATGGAAATGCTATGTTATGGGCGCACCATTGGAAATTTGGAATTCTCTCTTCTAAAATCCACTACACTAATTACTATGAATTATTATTATTATGTACTATATATCAACTAAACGCTGGCTGATTATGTAATAAGGATTTATTTTTCTTTAAACATTTTTTTTGTGGGCAATATGAATACATATTTCATATTAATTGGGTATAAATTAATATTATTTTTATTTATTTATTTATTACTTCTACTATATAGTTATGTGTGTTTAGTCGTATATTTTATAAATAACAGAAGTAAATATTTATTTTTTTCACCATTGAATTGATAATCTTTTTTTTATGACAAAATTATATATTATACAAAAAATTGGAATATAATAATGCTAATTTATCATTAGTTAGTTAATAACCTGTCCAAAAATTATCTTTATTTTTTTTATTTGTCATTATCTCTTTATATTTGTCAATATAACTAGACAAGAAGAATTTTTTCTTTTTGTCAGTCAGGAATTTTTTGCAGATAGCTATTTTTATATAATGTAGACATACCACTTACACTTTTAATTAATTAATTAACTTTTACTTTATCATTAGTAAATTAATTAATTTACTAATGATAAAGAAGTAAATATATTTTTATAGTTAAGATTGTTTGCTTATATTGATTAATTTAACTTCCCTTTTTGTATATTTTAATGAAGAGTAAATGTTTATTTTCCCCTTTCCTCATCCGTTTTTCTTTAATATGTATAGTCTTTTGGTCGGAGTTAATTTTTATTCTTGTTATTTATTGCATTTTAACCTTTTAAATCGTGTATTTAGTTGGGTCTTTTTCTTCAGTCCCCTCTAAAATAAAAATAAAATATTAATTTGAGATAGAAATCGACCACAGTGAATGGAATGATAATTCATTTAACCATTATACCTTATTCTATTTGTAGGTATTTGAAGGTGGGATGTATGGGTTAGTATTGTTATTTTCTCTAAATAGTGCTTATATTGTGGTTAGTGCAAAAACAATTCTTATTAGAATAATTCAGCGATTCATATCTCTCTATCATATCCTTTTCTTGTATATATAATTTATTTTATAAGTTTTCGAATAACGTTAAATCAAGTCATCAATCAGAAACGTGTTAGCACAACATTACACTAAAGGAAATATCTGCCGGCGTTAAATTCTGCACCTATGAAATTTATCTGTCATGGACAAAAATATTTATCAGTCCTCAAAAGCATTGCTCGTGTAAAATGTTCTCGTAGGAGATTATCAGATAGCTATCAATCAAAAATATAAAACAACCTCAGGTAGTCCTCTTGAATATTTTTTTGCCAGTCTTTCACAAAGGAATACTTTTTCTTATCTGTTATAATTTACCGACCTATGTATCTTCCACTTGTCCTGGAGTGTTTGCTATCTCGAATTTAGATTTAGATTAATATTAAATATCATTCGAGAGGATCAATAAAAAATAAACAAATAAGAAGTACAACGGTAAACATTACTTAAATATCCAAAATATTTTCTTTTTAAAAATGGAAATGGAACAATTAAAAAGATTAGGCGATGTCTGTGGTAAACAGTCTCATAGAACTTATAAGCTTTTAAATTAATTATTCAGTGATTTTTTACAGACACGAAGATTCTTAAAAATATTTAACCGACAACGGCGAAACACAAGAAATAGTGCTGTAAAACTAGGGGGAAACACTCGTAATCCGCCCCCCTCACCCAAAAAAATAACTCATCAGAAATCTTCTACCGGTGGAATACCTTTTTCCGCGTTGGGTTTCGATCGAGAAAAGAAAACAAGAAAGGACGAAGAAGAAAAGGAAACAAATAAAGACTGAAAACACATTTTTTTTACGTTTTTCGTGAAAACTTCAAAAACTATGAGGTTTATCATAAATATTGTCACTTGACACATGAACACTTGGAAAAAAGTCTTATTTTAAACCTAAACTCATCCAGAGCATTTATTTTGTAATCCAAAATTTCTATTAAAAAAAAAAATTGGAAATAAATATGTTCAGTTGCTACTACTACTCCTGACTCGAAATATATCATCGAGATTATACAAAAAATTTTAATTTCTGATTTCAAAAATTATTATTATTGTTAATTGTACCAATTTTTTTGACACTTAATTACCAGGATATGATTTTTATCACTTATGATCAAAAACAAAATCGTTCTTAATAAAAATCATCAAATGATTTTATAAATTTCAGATTCAAATTTGGATCGTATGTGATTTTGATTTTTTTAATTATCGATTTCAAACCCTGCAATATACACCTTCAAGAAAACATATGCTTCATCTTTAAGGGAATCTATGTTGGTAGTTTATATTTTCCTGGTTTTTGAGAAGGGGTTTTCAAAACTTTAAAAGGCCACTATTGTGCGAGAGTAGTCCTAATACTATGACATAAAGTGATGCATTAATAATTATATTAAACTTTAATTAAAATAAATATGTAGATACTTCTTTTTTTTACAGACATGTCAATGACGACAACGTCCATCAGGTGTGCAGTTTCTGCAGTGGCTTCCTCGATATTCGGTTTCATGCGAGATGTGACGGGGAAAAGCAGACCCTTGCTGATCATCGGCGTCCTTGCCGAACTGATCACCGTCAGCACTTACTTCCTGTCTGCCTTCTATTGGTCATCTTCGCCTTGGATACCACTTCTGGTGCATACATTTGTGTCGGGCGGGTTTGGCGAAGTTATCGTGCAGCTGGGCGCCAACTGCCTCCTCATACAGGAATCGGCACCCGAGGAGTTACCATTGAGGTTGTATTTAATTCAGTTAACATTAACTAAATTAACTATAATTTTTCGATTTAATAAACAGAAACTTGTAAAAGAAATAAAAAATCGGAGGGCACCAAATCACTTGAACAATGGTGAAGGGCTTTGAAATAACTTAAAAGTAATAACTTGAACGAAGACGGTGTAACGCTTATCTAATTTTATAAAATTCTTAATAGATGAATTATTAACATGTATTCGTCAATAACATAATGCTCCCTAACATAATTGTAAAAAATAACATAACATAACTAAGCCGTGCGGTCTAAGGCGCTTGCAATAGGTTATCAAAGTTAAGCAACGCCCAGTGTGGTAAACACTTGCATGGGAGACCGTCCACCAGGGGAAGCCACGCTACCGAAGATCACCAACGGGCATGTAAGGCCCGTCAGACTGCTGGAGGCAACTCATACCGACCGGGCGTAGGGCTGATGATTTCACCCCCACTGTACTTAAATTAAAAATCGGCATGTGGTATAGGAGACTACGTCTCGCGGTCTTAGATCTTAATGGTCTTTAGCGCCAACCGAACAAAAGAACAACATAACGAATATGAAAATATTTGGAAGAATCTAGGAATCCAAAGGGAGAACTAATTGAATAGTTACGACAGAGTTAAAAATATTTCATAAAGACAGAGTTAAAAAGTTCATAAAGAAATTGTGGAGGCGTATTTTTTTTTTTTTTTTTTGCTTTTATTTATGAGCCAATTTATAATAATTAAAAAAAGTTAAAATTGATTCGGACGCGGAGCTGAACTTAGACCGGACCGGACCTATTGATCTATTTTAATTTCCTAATTTAATTAATTTTCATTAATTTTTTATCCTAAACTAAATTTAAAATAATTCGATTTCACTTTTTTATTTAGTTTATTTATAAGTTTACGATACTTGTGTTTTACAATACAATAATCATTCAGTTGATGTGAATCCAAGACAGAATCTTTCTTTTAGTTAAGGGACTCTTGTGCAAGACCAAGACCATGATTAAGACTGAGTTTGCAAGACCAAGACTCGTCTTGGTCTCACATTTGGGCAACACTGCCTCCTTTTCATTCTTTTTCTTCTAGCCATGTGCAAAGAAAATAAAAAATCATCCAGTATGCGATTGTATATTATTTTAAATATGAATAATAATACATAATAAAAAAAAGAGATTTATTCCCGAGAAATGAAAGAACTCGATTGCACATGCTGCCGATTGTATCATAAGTATAATTTCTGATTTAAGTGCACTTGAGTAAACATTGGGTACAAAGTCTCGCATTCGAAATATTAATATATATATATTATTCTTTTAAATATTTTCGATTTACATATTTTTACTACATAATTTCTTTAAATAAATGATAACTATAATTATAATTATGTCTGGACCTTTAAAATCTATGATTCCTAAAAAAAAATAATATCCAACATAAAATATGGCAAAAATTAATACAAATAAAATAAAACGAATCAGTTTTGTAGTTAATAATTTCTATTTTTATATTATTATATTTATGGAAACTAAATGCATCAGAAAATTGTTCGGTTGTTCGTTAAGCCTTTTATTTATTTTTTTCATATTGGTTTATTGTTAGTTAACTATATTTTCAAATTATAAATTAAATTATTAAGCCGTATGTAATATATATCCTTACATTTTTTATATTTTATTTTTTCTCTAACTTTTTGTTTGTTCATAATTTAAATTCTATTTTTTCTATTTCTAATATATGTATTTAACCGATTTCGGGTGTATAAAGCTTATTCTATGTCATTATCATTATTATTTTCTCTTTATTAATTTGATTTTATTTGTTAATGAAGAAATATTTGCAGAGATTACCAAAGCTTCTTCTTTATTATTATTTTTATAAGGATAATACTACTTAATAATAGTAGTAATTTTATCCTAATACTTTATCTTTAAAATACCGTAATACTTTAACCTATGTGTTCTCTTTTGTATCCTGAGTGATTTAGCAACTCAACACAGTTGAACAGCAGTATAATACCTAGTTTTGCCATACATATTGTTAAGAAATTTGAGCTTTGTTTACATCCTTTGGCATTATTTAGGCAATCCTTACCTCTATTAGATTATTTTCTTAACGTGCCAGGATAATAATCCCATTTAGTTTGTATTTTTCTTTCGCTCAGTTAACTTGGCGTGGGTTTGATAAAGACAACCGAATAGCTGTGATCGCCTTACACAAAGTTGGAAAATGTAGGTTAGAGATTTTCAACACTTTGAAATCTTTGGTCATCAGCCGAAATTTCGTGTACCGCACCATAAATAAATAAATATGAGACCCTATCTGTATGTGACAGACCTCGACCCCGCACTGTAAGAACGGTAAATACAGTGAGAGCAGTAGCTGCTCGAATCAGAAAAAATCTCATTCGAAAACAACAAATCAAGTATCGGGAAACGGGAATCTCTGTCAGATCAATGTCTCGCATAGTAAAAAGTGACCTTAAGATTAATGCATTTCGAAGAATGACAGCACAACGGCTAACCACTTCTTTAAAAAAATGAAGTGGATACCTCCTTTTTTGTGAAAAAGCAGTTAAAACAGCCACTAAAAACTATCAGGACGATATTTTGCCGCATGTTGCCAAGCCTCTAAATGATACTCTGCTTGCTGGAAGTCGTTGAGTTTTCCAGCAGGATTTCGCTTTAGCTCACAAGGTCAGGTCAAATCAGCACTGGCTGCGAAAAAACATTCCAGAGTTCATTTCTGTCTCGGTTGGCACTCAGGAAACCCTGACCTGAATCCACTAGACCATCGGCTTTTGTCCGAACTGGAGAGGATGGCATGCCACAGAGCACAAACCTAACTTGGAAAGCCTCAAACGGTCTCTGGTCTGAGCAGTTGAGAGCTTTCCTCAAGAAGTGATGCGTGCTGCTATTGATGACTGGCCACGGAGATTAAACGCCAGTGTTTTTTTTTTTTACTCTATAGATATACATTTTATTGTATAGTAAATTTTTTGAAAAAAATAATTTTTCTGTTGAAATCTGTATTATTTTCTTTTAACAATGTTTATGACAGGACTAGGTATGTTGTGCTTTTCTCTTCTCAAATATATTAATATTCTGTTTTATTTATGTTATTAACTGATATTTTATTTTTATTAATAATTGTGAATCACGATTTCGTAGACATTATATATGTTTTAAATCAAATTTTTATTTCTTTCATATATTTTTTACCAGTCACCATTATTGGCTTTAAACAAAGAACGCCATATAAAGAAAGAAATTAATATTATAATATAAACAGGAATAATTGCCTAAAAAGAGTTTGTTTTTATTTTTTCAACAAGTGTGGACTGAAGTGTTCACGCGATATTGTGTTGATCGGAACGACAACGCCGACAAGTGGTGGAATATTACACTCAATTCTGTTTCATCATACTTTCTCGCATTTTCAAATTTTTAAAATTATTATAAAAATATACTTTATATTTTGAAAAATTAAATAAATAAAAAAAAATGATTTTGCTAAAACAAAAAAATATTATCCAAAGTCATAATTCACAACTGTGTTTATATCAATATCTTACACAGGAATATATACTAATCGTATTAAGTGACCGAATAAATCTTTCTGTACTTTATATTCTCATGAGAACAATTAAGGAAATTAATTTTTCAGATTTCATTTTTCAGATTAAAATTTCAGAAACGTTAATTAAATATATATTCGTGAATATCAGGAGGGGTGGAATTCCAGACGGAAGCTGCTTGAATTGCAAATGATTTGTCAAACGCGGCATTTCGGTGAAGAGGAGGATAGAGGTCGGAAGTACAAGATCAAGTGGGACGGGATTGGGTGAAGTTTTAAATTGCAAGCTGTGAAAAATATAAGAAGATCGATGAATTGTAATGACCTGGTACAGAAATGTAGCTAGGAAGTACTGACGGCGATAGGATGGATAGAGTCACTTCAACTCGATATAACACTGGATAATATGCGTATATCTTGAGATTCCGAAAACAAAACGTACTGCGCAAGCCATTAGGCCTTTAATTTTGGCTTCGAAATCTCCCGAGAGTCCACCGTACACCATACAACCATAGTCAAAGTTGGGGGAAACAAGAGAGGAAACCACGAGTTGGCGGGACTTACATAGAAGGAGAAAACGTATAGCCGTCAATGACTATTTTTGAAATAATATATCATCTCCCTTGAAAAAAAAAAAACTCTATCCTACCGAAGTAATGTTTTCTTCCCCGAATTCCCAAATGCTTCAAGACTGCTTCCGAACACTTAATGCCAATTTAAAATAATAGCTCATTATTGTAAATTGACATTTAAAAAATTGAAGATTTAAACCAACGAATTACTTTAATTATTTTCATTAAAATATAAGTATTAAGGACACATAGATGGCCAATGAATATAGTAAGGATCAATTCTTATAATAGAGATCTGTTTAAAAAAAAACTATTGTCTATTGTCACCTTTGGAGATAAATGTTTTAAAAAAGTTCCTAAATATGAAGTGTTTTTTTTTTTTCGTTTTTAATTTATAAAAACGTCTCGAGCCACTAAGCAAAAAAAAAAAAGCCTGATAATGATTTATAATTACTTTGTGGTGATAGAATATCAAATCACATAATTCTTTTAATTGCTGTAGGTGACTCTCAGCTAATTATGCAACAAACTTCAACTTGATAAATATGGAACTAAACTTTAATCATATAAGAAATTTTCCTAAAATGTAGCTCGATTAATCGGTATTTTCATTAAACTTACCGTAATTTGGACGTTCAAAAGTCCCCTAAAAATCATTTAAACAAAGACAAACTCTAATTGTATTTAAATGAAATTTTGTCTACTTAACTATGATCCAATTGTTATTTTTCTTAAATGAAATGAAATTAATGAAAATTTATTCCTATTCATGAAACGTGACGCATTAAAAAATCCCAAAAAAAAGAAATACAAAATTTTAATTTCCTACTTTTCTGCGGAAAACCGGAGAATGAATTATATAAATTATATTTAATTTTAATTTCGATTCATGCTTCATTTCCTAATTATAACAACTCGAAAACAAATGTATTAGCTATTTTCGACAAAAATATATATTTTTTTAAGAACTTGTTTATTAAGAAATATTACAATCTGTCTCAATCAAGGACATTTATAATATTGTTCAGTGGACACATTTACACTCTAAGTACAATAAATTAAACTGCAAAATAATACAAAAAAACTAAAAGATTACAAAAAAACAAAACAACTAAATTAACCAAAATAACAACTTAAATACAAATATACCTTTACACAATATTTACAAAATCCGTTCATTCATGGAAACTGCGAACCAAGCCTTTCTCTCCACTCACGGAAGGAAAAGCTAGTAGACTCTTGGAGATTCCAGCACCTCTCAAATATTTTTTTTCTTAATTATATTCTAGGACGGTATGTATCTTAAAATTTTAAGATCCATTATCCAAAGTTATAAACCGAAAAGAGTGTTTATTTGAAAATTGTTTATCTAATATGGAGGGTCTGTTTAGCCAGGAGGGCTGTAGCGTATGCGAAACACGCTTTGCAAGGCAACGTGAGATTATAACTTTAATTTATAATTGGTAATTGGTTGACTGTCGTGGATAATGAAGAGAAGAATAGTTGGGGTGCTCAGTCAAAAAAGGAAGGCAAAAATAAATTATAATATTTATTTTTTACATATTTACATATAAATATTTATATATTTTTAGTTGTTTTTCATTCCAAATTTATCTGTCTTTTTTTTCTAATAACTTTGTGTACTTTTTCTCTCATTTAGGCTGCAGGTTTACACGACTGCGAACCTATTCTTGATGCTGGTTGCTGGAAATCTCGCCACGATGATCCTCACTATCTTCGGCTATCGCTGGCTCTTTACGGTTTCCATTGCCCTACAAGCAATCGCCTTCCTCCTGGTCATAATCTTGGTCAAGGAGAAGGTAAATGTCACCAAGAATATGAGAGATTCGCTGGCAAGTTTGAAGAACGTCTTCAAGTGGAGAAAGAACGTCATCGTACTTTGGTTGATGTTGTTCGCAGCGCCGATGAACATTGCCATATTGATTTGTAAATACAACCAACAAATTGATCTTTAGCCTTAGTGATAAGAATAATAAAATCTAATATTTTAATTAAAGAAAAAAATAATACAGAAATCTGGATTTCCTGTCCATTCTGAAAGAATGCTCTTACATATCTACTTAAACACCTTAGTGAATTGTAAAAAACTTTGACATCTATGAATATTTAAAATTGGTATAGTAGTCGGGTGCTTCCCATCCCATAAAGAAACTGAAGAATACTTCGTTGACATGCGCCGATACATGGGAAGAATTCTACTTGCCAAAAACCGGTTTGAAATAATCGTTAATATCCATTCCACAATTTCAGTAATAATCTATTACCATGGATAGATATTTAATTGCATTATTTAAGGATGGATTCCAATTTTTGTAGTATTTTTTTTAATCTATATATTTTTTTATTTTTCAAGTATGACAACTTATATTTAACACGTATGACCACGGTTATGATTTATAACGAAACTGATAAAATAATACTGATAAAAATACGAAACTGATAAAAATTCGAGAATACTTAAAATATATTTTTTTTCTCAATATTTTGTGCTCAAATTTTTTCCAAGTAGTCAAGAGCACTCCCTAACATAAGTAATCTGAACCATCTATCTTAAAAATAGGTCGAGTCATTCGCTCGTTATGTCGTCACGTACATTTTAACGGATAGATTAAATACATTTTATACAATAATTTGTTCGTGTTTTTTTACTGATGATGGACTGGTGGACTGATAATGGACTGTTGGACTGATACAGGGCCGTAGAGAGAAACAAAGGAATGCCGGAATAATTTTCCTGGGACATCTCAAATATTATATTTACCACTAGAACATAACCGAAGCCTTTTATAATATATTCAACAAAAACATTAAGTAAATATTTTGTATAATCATTATATAAAAAATTTAATTTATAATTTATTGTAATGTAAATTTAGAAGTTGAATAATTAAATCTTGTGGGCCAGGATGAACATATTTTGCAATTCTTAAGATGAAATTTTTGTATTTTCTGGACATTCCAACTGTTCAATTACTTTTTTAATACACTATTCAACCCATTATAAATACGGTGTTGTGAGAAAAGGATTGTTAAATTATGAAATAGACGCCCGATTTATTATAGAAATTTAATTGAAGAAATTAGAAATTAAAACGCTCTGTTTTGTCTTTTTTGGAATTTAAGACGATATATTTGACAAGATTTTAGCTTAATTTCCCATATATATGGTCTGCACAAAAGTATCTCCCTTAGATTTTATGACCATATTCTATTATTTTGAATAAATTAGTATTGATTCTTATCCTGCATCAATATTTTTATTCATTAGAAATATCTTAATTGATCACAATCACCGTCTAAAATACATTTCTATAACATATTTCAATTTCCCCTTTAAAAAGTTGGAATGTGATAGAGTTGTAATTTCTAATTCTCTAAAGGATAAAAATTTGAACGATCTGAAATAGACGTGGTTGTTTGTTAACACAATTTAATTTTTTTTTTCAGTTCACAAAATCTTTATATTTTTAAATAGAGATTTTACTAGTAAAAATAATAAAATATTGTGTTTGAACAATTTTTTTAATTTTCAGTAAGCACCAATATTTGTATTTAAAACAAAAAATAGAAATATAGCTACTGTTATTGCAAATGGTCATATGTCAAAATTGAGTTCTTTTACAGGATTGACTATTATGATTTCATATTTTATTTCTCTGAGATATTTTCCATAGTAGTAGACTACTTATAGCAGTTGCAGACTATAAAATCTCACATTTATATTTAAAAATCTTTAAAATCATAGATTAAAAATGGAAATTTTTAACATGAGACATTTTGCACTAACAGTAGCGATATGCAGAGCTGAATTTCAATATAAATGCTTTTTTTTTTTTTTTTTTTTGTTATGGTATAATTTTAAAACTTATTCCTATTTTTGCAGCTGAGGGTACGAACAATGCTTCATTCTTCCAAATCAAATTCCAGTTCTCAATGTACCAAACATCTGCTTACAACTCTTACGGCTTTTCGGTTGCGATTGTCGGTAATTATCACATATTAATTCATTGCATATTTGTGTATATTTTTGTCTGCAAATTATCTATTCTATGCCATTTAACAGGTTCGCTGTTGGTACCGTTAATTTTAAGAAAGGTGTTTCACTGTAAGGATCTGACGCTTGGCATCATATCTTCCCTCGTGGACTGCCTGGGACCTATTGCGTTTGCGTTCGTCGATACTCCACTCTCTTTGTATTTATGTAAGTTCTTGATTGAAAAATAATCACTAGTAATTTTGTGTACCGTTCTCTTGTTTCGTAGCGACCAGACGTTTGAGTAACAATTTAAAGTATGTGTAGCAAACATTTATTTATTTATTTTCGGGGGTAACCCCTATACAAATAAAGTTGACTTCATAAACATAATAAATGAATGAAGGAATGAATGAAAAAATAATTTTATTCTGCGACTATAATATCCTAAGAATAATAACAGTGTTACAAATTTATAGGTAATAGTCTGGCCTATAATAATAAAAAATACAAACTAATTAACTGCTCATTATTATTGCAATTGGGCAGCAGATTGAAATTTAAGCAGTATACAGATAAAAGTAATTTTACAAGTTGGCGGAAGTTTTAATGTGGAGTAAATGGTGGAACAGGAGTTGTTTGAAGGAATTTGTGTACGAGGATTGACGTGTGGAGATAGAAAGAGAGTTCCAAAAGGAGGTAGCACGAATGACGAAGGATTTGCTGAAGGAATTAGTTTTATGGGAGGGGATATATAAGTCTACAGGTTTAGACCTAGTATTAAGAGAGTGGTTAGAGGAGCCTCAAGTAAGGAGTTCCAGGATGTAGTGATGGTTTTTGGTTCTGAGGACTTGGAAAAAGAAAACACCAAGGAGGAATTGTTGTCGGGAAGTAGGATAAAGCCACTTCAACTCGGTGTACCAGAATGAAACATGCGAACGCCTGGGGATCCCTAAGATGTATCTTATGAAACAGTTCATGAGTTTCTTCAGTTTCATTTCGAGCCTGGCAGATAGCCCTCCATACACCAAACAGCCGTAGTCGAAGTGGGGGATTTTCAAGTTATCTGGGAGATATGGTTATTCCAGGAGAGATTCTGGCCAAAAGTTACTCCTAGGTTTTTGACTGTAGGGAAAAAATGGATGGGACGGTTATTTACATAAAATAGAGGAAAGTAAGGAAGGGATCTTAGCAATAAACATTGCTGCCAATTAAATTACAAAGTAGAATGTATAGCTATAGTCCGTGGGACAGACCCCTTTTTCAACAGATTATTAACATCCGAGTAAAATTTCGTGAATAGCTTCTCATCGTAACCAACACCTTGTTTATTTACAAAAATTCTCGGAAACGAAGCGTTTTCAATTTGCAGTTAAACGTTTTGAATCTAGGTTACGATAAGATGAAGCCACGAAGTTTTAGTCGGATGTTAATAATTTGATAAAAAAGGATCTGTACCACAGACTTCAAACGTTTGGGTGAAAACTATAATATTCTACAATCACCGGTTCAAATTTTATTAATAAATTTTCAATATTAAGATTTCAAAAAGTCAAAAACCATTATCAGAAATTAACTCAGGAAAATTGAATGTGTTAATCAGTAGAAATTTTGAGTAAGTGAGTAATAGTAAGCAGTAAGTTGCCTCTTTACAAACATTTTAAAACGAAATCAGCCAGTAAATTCATTCGCAAAATCAGTAAAATCCATAATAAACGAAGCGAGTAAGGATATTCAGGCCAAAAAACAAATGCCATATTCTTTTAAAATTCAACTTTTCAATCCAATCATCAGGGCTATCCTTGCATATGCTGCTAAAATCGGACAGTATACAATACTTCGAAGTGGCACAAGTAATGTTTTACTTTATTAAGAAATTGATAATTTTTCCAAAATGTTCCCGTAATAGAATAAAATACACTACTCACAAAACCTTGAGCATTCTATTGCCTTTTCGGAAAAAAGGCAATAAACTTTAAACTACTATTGGACCTTTTAATTTAAACCTAATGTTTGTTGTACCAATGCTTTATTATGTTACATTATCATTTAAGATATGAACCATAAATTTAATTTAATTCCTTAAAACTGTTCCCAATATTCCGACCCTGCACCTAAACGATAATCACATCAAATTTTGTGGTGCCAATAATAACCTTTGATGAAACCATTTCCTTGAAAAAACATATTTGCAATACCTCCCGCTGTACCTTTTTCACCTTAAAGCGACTAAATTATCTCCCTCACCTATTTCCATTTGAAACCTGTAAGTTTCTGGTTACTTCCTTAATATTTTCCCAGTTTGATTACTGTTGAGGGGTAAATGGTGGTGTCTCTAGGAATCTCGAGGAAAGACAGATCTTTCATTATCCGATCCTTATTCCTATGGAATCCCATCCTCTTCAACATCCGTAATTCCAATATCCTTTAAATCCGTAATTCCTACCCACCTTAAAATCCCGCCTATTCGATCACTTCCTGTTTATCTATTCCTAAACAGTTGTAAATAAATTTTTCTGTAAACATGTACACGAATTACTAGTTATTTTCAATTCTCAATTCATCAATGTTAGAAGTTGACTTATATGCATATATTTTTTCTTTCTATTATGTTTGTGTATTTTTTTATTTCTATAAAACTCTGAAGCTCTGAAGTCCACTATTATATTATTTTGTATTATTCAAAGGGGCTTTGGAATAAATAAAGCTTATTATTATTTTTTAAATTGACCTTTTATTTGCAGTTACTCTACTAAACTTCATGAGATTGGTCACTTTACCATTGCCAAATACCGTCATCAGCAGGATTGTCACTCGTGAGGAAATAGGTCATAATTTATATAATATAGAATTATCTGAAGTTTGGCTTATAATTGTTTTATATAATTTAAAGTTGTGGAACTTGCGCAGGTACCTATCTTGGATTCGCTGCTATTGTTACACTATGGGTACCGTTCAGCATCTCCAAGATATTCCGAGTCGTATTCTCCTATACTGAGAGCAAATGGATTGGTGCCTATTTCTTAGTATCTTCAGGTCTATTTCTTCTCTTAGCACTAGTATACAGGTAAAACACATAATTATGTTTAGAATGGCAAAATTTCAACCATTTTTTCTTTCTTTTTTTTCTAATAAAAACATATCTTTGGCACTTATGCATAGTACGTTAAGTGTAAAATCATAGTTATGTAAAAATGCAATTGAAAAATTGGAACTTTCGCAGAAAGTTCAATTTTCGAATTTTAATCCATGTTTTACAAAGTAAATGTTTATCTTTGTAATAGCTGAAAAGTTAGTCCACTAGACACAAAGAAAGAGAGAGAAATTAGCTCTGTGGTTGTGCGTAAAAATTCACAAAATTGCAATTATCACTTATCACAGGTGCCAACAAATAACTTGTGGTGCGTGCAGCACGTAACTTTCACTGGCCAGCCTAATTAAAGCAGAAATTGATTTTTGTTTATTTGGGACTACTTGCATGTGACTCTTTCAGTCACATATCGCGAACCTTGCTTCTTTGCCCTTCGTCGTAAACGATTTCCTGTCCTCCAGAATCCTTCAATAATACTCCACTTATCCCGGATTAACACATCCCCTACCCCTAGGTTTGGGTCCTAACTCCATTTGCACAAACATTTTACTAGGAACCCTCATACAAGACTAAAATAACAAGAGACTGGCTACTTCAACACTTACTAGACCAACGCTCTAAATTTCCTTCCAACGAAAACGTAATCATTTATTTGAATGTGTTAGGCCTATTTGGATCTATGGGATTGAGCTTTTGGATTTCACTAAACTATCAAATTCCTCTCTTATACAATCCTTACAATCCAAAATCTTTGGCTAAATCCTCAATGTTCCCTACTTTGTCACAAATAGAATTATTCATTATGACCTTAATGTTCCATATTGATTGAATGTACTATTGGTGGATTTATTTTAGAACCATTGTAAATGTTATAAATTTCAAAAAAGTTAATAATGCTTTGAATTATGGCAACATAGTGGCTTATTTTTTATTATACATATTGTGATTCAGAAATTTATTTCAAAATATTCGATGTTTATTTCTAATTGGATTTAGATTGAGAAAAGGCTGTTCATTTGAGTAGTACTCAAAATGTTCGTGTAAGTAGTACTCAAAATATTTCTTGGAGTAGTAGATACCCTAATTGCTCTTCTGAGTATTACTCAAAATGTGAGTTTGATCAGTACTCAAACTGTTCCTCTGATACGTTTTTTTTTTTTAAATATATGAAGTATAATGAAAATACTTTGGCACTATGTATGAAAATATAATTACTCTGTCAGTGATAAAGAAAGCGTAATCATCAATCATCAATTCTCAAGTTTTTGGTCGTTAGGTTTAAATTATTTAGAAACCTACGACATCCTGCCATATATTTAAAAATCTTCCTTTAACAATTCCCCACTAATCCCAGGTTAACAAATCCGTTCCCTAGGACTCCATCTGGACAAACGACTCACATGGAGTCCTCATACAAGACTTAAACGACAAGAAACAGCTCGACGTTTCCGACTACTCCAGTACTTACTAGCACTAGCGGATCCAGAATTTAATTTGGGGAGGGGGGGAGGAGGGCTTCAGTCCAAACGGTTTTTTATTCATATATAAATGATTATTATTTTGAAGAAAAATACGACCTACCTAAATGAAATCGTGTTTAAGTGATTCTTGAAGTCCTAAATGTAATTAAACGGACATTTGTCCTTAACAGGTAATTTTTAATTTTTTTTTCCAGGAAACATGGTTAAATTTTACCATTTTGGGGGACTTCAGCCCGAAAGCTCCCTCCTCCCTTATTATTATTTCAGTGCTACCAGTGGGTAGTTTCTCAACAAGCGATTTCATGTTACATTTCATTTTTATATATTGAGTGCACATTTACTAGATGTATATATTTTTTTTTAAATACAGTTGTAAATATAAATGAAAAAAAAATTATTTAAACCTTTTGCCAGAATGATATATTGAACTTAAATACAAAACCTATTCACTAATACAATATATAGCATTTCCAAGCCGATTGTTTACCTTTTTCATATTAGTGCAACTCTTTAGTAATCAAATGTAACCGTTTTCATTACAAATTTAACCCTTTCCAAATCTTTTTCGAGTGATGTTTATTGCTTATTAGTGTTATTGATAGTGTAAGTTTATTACTTATTATTGTTAGTGATATTTATTGCTTATGTCATGGCCTTCCTGGAGTGTTTTGTACATCATAATGTATAATGATTCATGCTTAATCAAGTTGTATTTCGATTAGGATCACAAACAACATTGCATCGTTGTTTGATCATTTTTTATATCAAGTTAAATACAATGGACATTAATGTAGTGTTTAAATTTTGTTATAATCCATTTCTGGGTTCTTCCGATTCAATTTTGTTTATGGTTTACTATTGGAAATCGCTGTAGTGCCCTCTCTCAGTCTCCACTGGACTTCAATGCCGGTGATACGGCTGAGAGAGAAGCGCTGGGATCTCTTAGAATCTCGCTTTGTCCTTCACACGTGGAAGAAATTGCGGGACTCGAAGCTCCCTTGGCTGATTGTAAATAATTTAATTAAGTATAAATGTTTTTCTTTTTCTATCTATTTATTTGTTTTACTTATAATTTATTTATGAGAAGGAATTGGTCGGGGGAGGGGGACGGGTGCGGTCAAATAAATACTAGATTATTCAAAAATATGTGTATTACATATACATATATATAATTGTATTGTATGTATGTACATACCCACCGTATATGTATATATGTATACGTATTACGTATACAATTATATATATGTATATGTATGTGTACTAGACCCGTTTTCAACTGCCAGTTATCAACTGCCTCCTGCAGTGCCACATGCCACGCCCTGATGAAGTCCTGCAAGGTGGAGCGAAACGTCGGCGAACTTAAAAAATACTGTTTTTAAATAATCTGGTATTTATTTGACCGCGCCCCCCGACTAATTCCTTCTCATATTGTATCACGGCCAACCACCTCTACATCATTATAATTTATTTAATTTGCTAAGAATTTCTGTATTTTTTTTTTTAATTTGATTTCAAGTTTTATAGCTTTTGCCTTAGTTATATATATATATATATATATATATATATATATATATATATATATATATATTTTTTTTTTTTTTTTTTTTTTTTTTTTTATTGTATTGTATATATAGTATGAATCTGCCTCACTCATCTTTAGTACTCAGTGCCCTTAAATGTGGGCACAAAAAAAAATATCTTTAAAAAAAAATATTGGAAATACAGGAGTGACTTTCATGAAAATTTTTGTTTTTTCTGTTTCAGTGTAAGCTATTGTATATACGATGAGTTAGAGACAATTGAAGACTTGACTGAAAGTAAAGAAAAGTTGGATCAAAACTTAGAAAACGGCAAATGTTCGCCGGACAAGACTCGCATTTGATTATGCTACGGGTCGTCATTCGTTGACGATCGAGTCGAGATATAATATCTGAAGATTAGATTATTAATATCTGTATTCATTAAATTAGTTCCGTCTTGATCTCTTAAATATCATAATTGTAAAATTATTTATCAGCTTTAGCTCGTTGTAAATAATTTATTTTTTAGGCTCTGAAAATAAAAACGGTATTTGCACGTAATATACTTCGACGATATATTCAATATCTGGTAGGGATAGCATCAAAAATAATAGTGTGTCATTGTGTATTACATGTACAATTCAGATTTGAGCGCGTGCATAATATACACAGAATAAAGCACTACTGAGGAATGAGAGATCGAACGAACATATGACCGATTTAATAGATCGGTTATTATAATCAATCTGCCGATACTTTCCAGGAAGTTTTTATTAACCTCCCTTATCTGTGTAGGAGAGGCTTTTCAGCCTACTAAAATTCAACTCATACTGATCGAGTGTAAAGGAATGATCTTAATGAATGAACGGTTTCAGGAATTTTAAAGTGGTTTTCCTAAATGTTAATGTAATCGACATGAATATATGTATGTGGGTGTTTGTATTTAGTGACAATAGCAAAATATAATGAATTTTTGCGGCCTCTGATAATAAAAATATTCCCCACTTATGGCATAGCCGATAACCTTAAGTAAAAAGATCAATCCGTTGGCCAATAATCATTATGGTGTATATAAATGATCATAAGGCCTATAAAAGGAAAAAATATATTGTTATTTTATTTTTTCCGTTCAATAAAATATTAACCTAGTTATCTAATTATTTAACAAAAACGAAACAATTAATTGGTTTATCAAATTTATTTGTAAGAGTAAAAATATAAAGGTGAGTGATAAGTACCATATTTACTGTTTTGGGAAAATTTCATTTAAAGTTTGTCTCGAGCAAATTTGTTTAAAGAAAGCTATCCAATTTCTTGAAAAAAAAAATTCTATTTTTAATGAAAAAATAAATAAATATACTATATTTAACATATTTTAATGTACATGCTGTATTTATGCACTGAAAGAGATCTGGTGAGTTAGGATTTTCTTTGTTAATCCTAATTCTATGTTTGTGATAAATTTTATATCAAAAAATGTGTTGTATTATTAATATCTTATATGAGGATTCAGATCTTCTTAAAAAATATATATTTAATGAAGGAAAATTACATTTAATTTAGAAAAATAAAATAAAGATGTTTCAATAAATTACCTATTATTTTTAATGTTTTTTCTTAATTAACATACGCAGCTGTCCTTTAACTTAACAACTTTCTCTTTGCTCAAGCTGTCATTAAAATCAATCAGAGAATTTATTTTTAGTTCATGACTTTTGCTGGGATGACTGTGAAAGATATCCAACAAATTTATCTTTTTTATTCCTCCATTTGGTATAGAAACTTACAATAAATTTGATATATCATCACTGCTTTTTTAGTGAATTTCGTCAAAGAAAATTGTGATTCTTGTCAAAATGACGAGGTGTTTTAAGGAAATCTCAAGTCGGCAAACCAATACATACCTTTATACCATTTATAATGTTTAGAAACTTATGATGTACCTATGAATGGTTTCTGAAAAATACTGATGAATGATGAATGTCAGACTATTTTTTACAGTCATAAATGTAAACCATTGTGTTCATTATCCGAATAAGCTAATCGACATGAGGGTTTTGTGGTTGATTTGTCCATTGTGGAACGTTTTTTTAACTACTGGATAAATTTTTAAGTTTTATGGCTGAAGTTGATTTAAATGACACAGTGAGATCTCGTGAATATATGGAAAGTATTTGAGCCAAAACTACTGAAAACAAATATTTTATTATATTATAAGTATTCTTAAATTTGAATTGGTTTCATATCATAATATATATCAGGTCTTCATCATAAGGGTTGAATATAAATCGTCAATACTTGAAAAAATAAAAAATATTTTAATTTAAAAGAAAAATAGAAATCAGACAATCCTATCCTAGCAAGGGGAATGTACTTCCACGTCAACTTAAACGCCTTGATGGACTGTTAAGAAAATTGGTACCTACATATTTTTAAAATTGGTGTACTAGTTTGTGTAGCATTTCACTACACATTGTAGCTCCTACCAAATAGAGGTCGTTCCATGCATCGGAGCATGTTAACATACTTAAATCATGAATTTCTTTCAGGATGCGGTCCTACCATCAGACCACTACACCAAGTTTAAAAAATCATAGATGTCAATTTCCTTATCAATCTTCCTAGATGTTTTAGTAGATATGGAAATATGTTCCCTTAGGGTGCATAAGGTTTTCCGATTTCTGTAGTTCTTTTTTTTTTTTTAAATTCAAATATATATTTACTTTTTTTATTTTTTATATAGAGATCTAAAACAAAAAAATGTTACAGTGACAAATGAAAAGGAATATGGTGCGCGAAACACACAACTTTCACTTAAAACTCTACTTGGAGCAAATTTGACAATGTTCATGTATATCTAATTATTTAAATATATTATTGGATCTAAATTATCAAACCACTGTAAATTTATTTAAGGTCATAAACATATAATTTACTCATTCGAAACACTGCATGAAATACTTTCACATTATATTTTTTCTTTAACACAGGAACAATATAAAGGTTATCTAAACACTCCATTTTCTCGATTCATTGGATTGCATACAGTGAATTGCATACGTGGTACAGACCCCTTTTTATGAAATTATTAACATCCGGCTGAAACTTCGTGAATAACTTCATCTCAACGTAACCTACAAACATTTTATTTGTGAAAATTCTTGGAATTGGAACGTTTTCAATCCGGAGGTCAGCAAACTTCGTTAATTAAATTAGATACTAAAAACTCGTAAATACCCATTTTCATTCCAATTTAATCGTGAGATAACTTAAGCACAAAGACGAGAAAAAATGTGACCTTAAAAAATAGTGAGTTGTTTGGCCTATTTATCCTCGTTGTTTTTACTATTTGAGGGTCGAGGTAACACCAAACGGCTCAATATTTATGAAGGTCTCCTTTTTTTCTCGACTTGGTGCTCAAGTTATCTTACGATTAAAATGGAAGCAAATGGGAATTTACAAGTTTTTAGTATCTAATTTAATAGAGAAATTTTGCCGACCTCCAGATTGAAAATGCTCCAATTCCCAGAATTTTAAACGCTCCAATTCTAATACTTTTTTGTCTGGTTTAAAATTTTAAATGCTACTAGTTAGTTTCTATGGCAATGCCATTTAATTATATAAATACATTTATTTTGCATTCAATAATGTAGAAGGGCAAGATGAAGTAAGACAATTAGTTATTAGATTTCTGTCACTCATCAATAACTTCTACTACTTTTTATATTAGATATTTTTTCTTTTCAAAACCCTCAGTTTTCCAAAAATATATTATAAATTTATTCTGACTAGTATTTACATAATTTCATTTTCGACATAAAAAAACATTTTTTTCATTTTGTCTCTTTTCGTCAACTATCTATTTTTTTTTATAGTGTATATTGAGCCATTTTTTTATTACCAATGACAATGAGATACAGTTAATTATTTAAAATATACCAAACTAAAGGTACTTTAGTATATTGTATTGTTCATTAATAACTTTATATATTAGGTATTATTTTTTTCCGGAATTCTCAATTTTTTTCCGAAATATATTACAAATTTATTCTGACTAGTATTTCTAGAATTCATTTTCAAAGAGAAAAACGTTTTCCTTTGTTTTTCTTTTACACCTTTTTTTCACCAATATTAATTGACGTTCGTTTAGGTTTAAGTGCAGTGGATAAAAAATTTACCCAATCTTCTACATTTTTTAATGTAATTTTCTCGAAAACTAAAAACATTAAAGTTAAAATAAATATAACTTTTTTTTATAATTATCTATTACTATTATTATATAGTTATTTATCGATTATAATACAATAGATTACGAGATATCAGCTAAAAACAAGAAAAAAAGGTACTTTCTATCACCCTTCTTATTCCTTCTATCAGGTATCTTCATTAGAGCTACTCCAACATTAATTGCAAAGCTTCAAAACTTTCGGAATTTTGTTCCAAAATGACGCAAAATCTTTCTGATTTGACTGGTTTAAATGGTTAAGAACGTGCTTTTCTCTGAACAATAAAACTTGCAGAAATAAAATTCTATTGAATAACTAATAGCACTTGAAATTTTATTTGTCATGTAATTCATTATCATCAATGATGTAGCAATGCAATTAAGCAATTATTTCAGAAAATTTTCAAAGAATGGTACTTGATTGACTGAAATAAAAAGTTTTAAGAATCCCTTGTCAATTTGATGAAGATATTAATCAAAACAATAATTGACTCTTTTCCATCAAAACAAATACGAATGCGGTAAAAGAATTACGTCATTGTTAAAATAAAGTTGCACACCTGTTTATGTAAGAAAAGCGTGAGATGTATTGAACCTAAAAACTACGGCATGAGCTTGTAAAATATAAATATCTATTTAGCGTTTATAAATTATAAATTTATATTGTTATGAAATTATTTCAAGTAGTGTTTAAGGCTAGGCAAAACATTTGGTTATAACCTTTAGTTTAATAACTTAAGACAGTTTAAATATTAACTAGTCCTACAGCAGAAGAATTTAATTTTTATTGAAAGCTTACAGTATCAAGTAAAAGTTGTATGATGCGCGCACCAGATGCTTTTAAATATAAATTTCTAAATTTTAATGTGAAGGGTCTTAAAATGCAGTTTATTAACTACTAGAATGAATTTTATGTAAATAAAAATAGATTATAATAATAATAGTAATTATCATTGGAAATTTTAAATTCACTGTGAATGATATATTATAGAACAATATCAAATGTTCCGAATTTTTAATACTTTGTTTGAAGAAGGATGTGGATGAAACAACAAATGGTTTTTGAAGGACTTTTTTTTTATATATATGTTTGCGGCTGATAACCTTCAAACGGGGCAATGTCATAAAGTTCAATATCAGATAAAAATAATTTATGGATAATTTTAGCGGGTAAGAGGGTCAATATTATTGCCGTCAAGTTTTAAAAATCAGATTCAAAATAATTATTGAACCTAAGTGATAACTAGATGAGACGTAACGGACTCCTGTAAATGAAACGTCCATTCATATCATCCAAACCTATTTTTGTTGGATTTTTGTGGAGCACGACATGATGACGTAGTTGATCTCGAGGTGCGGACTCCTCAATGAAAAATCTGATGCGGTGCGCCCATCACAACTTTCTCTTACCACTCTACCAATAGTAGAAACAGGTATGTTCATAAGTAGAAAAGTATGAAAATAAAAATTATATGCGACATCAAATTTATTTTAAAAACTTAATTACCATAAAAAAATTAAGCTGTGCTGGCTTCTTTGGACCACACGACAGAAGTGAAAACCTCAACAAGGCGAGATTAATAATATGATATATTAATTCTAAATAATAGCTCACTAGTTGGCCCGTGCGAATGATTCGAAGACAATTTTGTTTAGTGAATAAATAAATAAGTTGACCCTATGTATTGTGCAAGGAAGGAATTAATAC